CAGCGAAGGGGGGGGGGAAGGGAGAGCTGCCACAAAAACAAGGGGAACAGAAAAAGGGGGGGGGGGGGCAGCAAGGCGAGCAGGCACGGGTAGGGGGCGGAGACGGTGAGCTCGGAAGGCAAGGGCATGGGTCTCGGCTGTGGACGACGCCCCCAACCAACGCTGGGATCCTACGCGTCATGACCGCAAGGAAGGAAGCAGGATGAGGGGCAACCTCCGGTTGCCGTGAATAAATGATGATATGTCCTGAAGAGATTCCCAAAGACAAGATCATACTTCTAGGTTAGGGCGCACAGATGTGTTTCTGTTGAAAAACGATAAAATCTGTGTCTCTTGAATCCGGCCGCATTTCTCAAAACACAGGCCACCAATAGCTTTTCGTGAGGTACCATCTTGAGGGTATAAAACGCACCCCAGCCTCTGCATCTCGAGGCACTGCTTGTAGTGTACACTTGTGAGACACTCCCGTGGGCGCGCCCCCCCTGCTTGGCGGATTGTCGTTGTATTGAAGGGTGGGGAAATCTCGTGCCGCAACAGATACAACCGTCAAAAACAAATATAGAAGTATGCTTTGAGTAGGGCGGGTTGCCCGCTGTAGGGCGGGTGAATCAGCCTGGCTCCTACGTGTCTATGAGAGGGCCCACGGGTACTGCTGTTGTACTTGCTCATGTACGTGTGGTTACCGTCTCGGCAATTATTATTTTTTTTTTTTCTTCGTGGCAACCCCCCCGACGCGAAAATTGGCATCAAGCGACAAAGATAGGGTAACAAAACAACGGTATCTACTACCGCTGCACTGCTGTATGATATTGCGTTCCCCACGCAAAGGGCTCTTTCATACGTAGAACCGGGGTCAAGGTCACACGGGTGCAGTTCTAAAAAAGGTAGATAGATACCCAGCGGGCCGCCCTAAGTGTACTTGACGTCAGCATGTGTTCTTGGATTCATCTTGGAAAAAAAGACGCCCCCGAAGCCCCAAGTGCCTCGACACGTACTGGTACAGGGAATATTGCCGATGAAACAAGTATCCATGGGAAATATTCCCGATGACGATCACCCCCTTTGCAGAATGTTTTTTCGTGTGCCCTCTTCTCTCCTCTGCTTGCTGTTTGGGTGGGTTCGTCAGCGTTTATCGTGAAAAACCTATGTACCAGGTAGTCCACATGCGGGTATCCCATGGCACTGGCTCACGGAAATCTCGTGGCTCGCGTTCGTGCGTACACAAAACCTCAACCGCTGCTTGCTCTCTCCGAGCTCGAAGCCAACCATCCGTTATTGGGGTGTCGAGATTCGGATCATTATACATTGCTGAACTCAATGGTCCGACGTATGTGCGTGGTGGCGAGGCTTGCAGTCTAGTGGTGTGGCGTGTGAGTGAATCTGAAACTTGGTGTTGCCAGGTTAGGGGCCATAGCCCCATGAACTCAAGCAGCGATCGCTTCCCCCGTGACGTGCGGTATCGCCGGGAGAATCGCCCCGCTCAAAAGTGTGAACCACGACACTTTGAGGTGCCATAAGGACTCGGCTACGGCTCTGTGTTGGTATGAGACCAAGCTTTATCTCACTCACTCAAAAGTACAACACAACACGAACAGCTCAGCACGAAGAGCTTCTCGAGGAGAGAAAACTCATGGTTTTAGTTCTAACCTGGAGCTGTAAATAGGCCGTTTAAAATATACAAGAATCAATATATATATGCAGCACAGCTACAACCTACCGTTCGTCGATGCCGACGGACGCGAAAGGTGAGTGGTGAGCTGGCGGTTGGATGACGGGGTCATCGTGTCGGATACCATGATACAACCCTTCACGGCCGCGAAAACCTACTGTACTTGTCTTGAAGTTCGAAATGAGACCGAGGAGGTTGACGGATGCGTCTCGCGAAAACGTGCAACAGAAGCGACGTTTGACCCAAAAAAAAAAGAAAGACACGTGGACACGCACCACGCACGAGGAAAGCTCGAGCCGATAGCAGGAGGGGAGGCGGGAGAGGAGGCGTGGGAGGTACAAGCGGTATCTACAGACCGTTCCACGTTCTCTGGAAGTTATCTACCTAAATGTAGTTTCATGACACACAGGTACAAAAAAAAAAAACGCCACCGAGCGCGTGTCAAGTACAAGCTCCAGCGGAGATTGAACTTGCAGCGTCAAGCCATCATTGGAAAAGCGTGGTGCTTGTGCCCCATGCCGTTAGACCACGCTGCTCGCGCCAGGAAAGCTCGGAGTGGTCGTATACGTACTGAAGTACGATGGTTGAAACGATGCGCTGTCAGGTTTCCAGTCTGAACTCACGCGTCCTCGTCTGGAGCTAGGCTGGGTCACCAAGACCACCAAAATCCCTCCCTGACCGCACACACACAGAAACTCTTACCTATGGGTTGATGTCCTCTAGCGTGCCCTAGCGTCTGTCTGTCTGTCTGCTGTCTGTCTCTCTCTGGGTTGGCTCTGAATCTCTGTAGTGTCTGAGTGTGCTGGGAGGTCTCTTCATCCCCCCCTTTTTTTTTGCAATTGCAAACGTATCATACCACGAACTGACGCACTTCCGACCCATTTGCTAAATAATCTGATTTTCATGGGGGGGGGGTAACCCTAAGTCGGTTGGATAGTTGCCGATTCGACCAGCCCATTTTTTTTTTTTGTTCTTTGTCACTACACCGCAGAAGCTGCGTGCGCCGTGCTCCGCGCCCTTTTTTGGGATCACAGCAGCATATCGATAATCTCACACGTGAGGGAAAGGTAGGCACCGCCGTGATTACCAGGCCATCGTATCCTACGATAAATAGTTGCTGGCAAGGGAGGGAGCTCTGTGGTTGGGTATCGAGAGTTCCGCTGGGTTAGCTAAGCGGGTGCCGCCTGCTGAGAGTAAGATACACGGCTGATGTGGATCTAAGGAGATGTGTTGCCCAGTGGGAACGCAAGCAAAGGAGAGGACAATGTGCGACGTGGAGGCTGGGTGAAGTTCTGCAACTGCTGTAGCCGCAAAGGGATCGTGGCGATGTAAACAAAAAAAAGATGAAGCCACAATGCGGTATCAGTAAGGCCACAGGAACAGGAGCACCGGGTGGGGGCATCTACAGCGGCGGGGGTGCAGGGTGGGTCCGAAGACGGCAACAGGAGCCTTCAAGGCACCCACAGCAGCCTATTCCGCCATCATCCTGGCAGAGACAGAGACCGCCACTGTCTATGCTTGAAGGTGGTGAGGGCATCGTTAGCGCTCTAGCTCGGCTGCAGCAAGGCCCTCCTCCGGGTATGTCTTGTGTAGCAGCTGGGCGAGTACTGCGGGGTTGTTTGTTATCTTTGATATGTTTGGCAGTGCAGGTGGATGGCTTTGGTTTTGGTATGAGGATATGAGTGCATAAAGAAGTGTTTTTAGTGCTTTTCTTACATATTTTGACATGCAGTACATGTCAGTGTGCGCTTACGGTACGCGTACACAGACGTAGTCCCTGAAACTTCCTTTGCTGTTGGAGCACGATGCTCAATAAATATGGCCAACTACAGTAGTATTGGCTTGTGATAATCCCGTAATTTTGTAATTTTGTCGACTCAAGGACTGAACCCTACACAATTGCCATCGCCTTGTATTTAGCGTCCACAACAGTCCACAACGGCGTGCGTGGAACCTCGGCCTCTTTGGATGTCTGAGAAATGTCACTCAAAGCTACCGCTCCGCAACACACCAAACATCGAAGAACACCCTAAACAGCAATGACGAAGACGACCTCTTTCTCACAACTGCCGGTAGCGCCGCAACACGCAAACGCTACAAGCACCCTGCCCAGCCACAGTTCGACACCCTAGCGCACTTGAACTTCATGTTGTCGACTATGTTTTTGTTCACCAGGCGTGTCGGGCCTTCCCCTTCGATTTCTTGTAGCGTACATGGCGGCCAGTAGCTTGAGCAACACGGGTCGGCATGGCAGTCGTGACGTTGTTTGGGATGCCCCCCAACTTCACATACCTCCAGCTGAACCCCCTTCAGAGATGAATGCGTGGCTGTGGTACACCAGTACAATGCACGGGCATCACAAGGGGAGCAACATGAGTATCATTGAGATCCTGCTACTTGTCCTCCGGAGCCGTAACTCACGCCCAGCGAACCCTTGCTGGAAGCTAGAATATTTACCTCATTGCCCTATCACTCTACCGTCACTCAGGTTCGATTTCAACGCGCGTGGAACCGGAGCATGTGCTATTTGAGAGGCGAGACGGGTCCCATGACATCGGCCGTAGCAGAACAGGGTCGCGCCCGTCCGGCCAAAGCGATCGGGGTGGCGGTGGCGTCAGAGAAACGGCCGGGAGGAATAGCCAAAGGTGTGCGATAAAATCACCAATCGACGTCCTATGTTGGGCAGCAATATTGTTGTAGTGCAAACTACCCTCGCGAGAAGAGAACAGGCTGTCGGCAAACCACGTGATAGTCCTTGTTCGGGTACCTATGCTAGTTTGGGTTTAGCCTTTTGTTTGTATGGACGGGCACTGGTAGGCAGGGTGGCGGTGCCTACGGTCTACCGGCTCTGTGCTTTAGTCTCCCCCCACTCTCAAACGCTCCAGAAAAGTCACGCATGCGCACAAGCCACACACACATAGAGACACATCCGCCGAAGGCTGTGTTGACATATCCATCACTTCTCGTTCTGTGTTTTCTGCGTCTCGATCCAAGCTGCGGCAGCGTCGTTTTCGCCGAGACATTTATTTCTCGATACCACGATAGGTTTCCCTCATCAAGAGCATCAAATGCATTATCTTTTGGTACATGCCTGTGTTCCTCGAAGGTCGCGAGAGGGTGGAACTGAGGCGGTGAGGGTGGTCGTGAGGGTTCGACCAATGTCCGAGAGGGAAGAGGCTACAGGTTTGCAGGTGGGCGGATTTTTGGCCTATATGCCAGAGGGGCGGGGCCATTCTCATTCGCTGAACGTCTTGGTCAAAATGGCAGACACAACGGAGGACAGTATCGCCTGGTGTTTTGGGGTAGCATACGGCTTCGAGTGTTCGCGAAGGTGGCACGTGCACCGAGGCGCGTTTGGCTCGACCCTTTCTTTGAACTCTTTCTTTTTCAACGAAGAAAATGAACAATTCCGTGCCGCTTTGTATGCTTGGTCGATCTTCCTTCCTCCAGGGAGTGGTCAGCGTTGATGATGACGGGGAGTCCATGTCGGTTGTTGATCCGACGGCCTTTGCTGCAGCCCTGGCGCTTGAGAGAGACGGGCGAGAACAGGTGCTTAGTTTTGGCCGCTGCCGTTGTAGTTGTTGACGACAGTGCGTAGGTTCCGACAAGGCGCGAACTAATGGCACCGAGACACTATCGCATTCCACAATTAGTATCGCCTGTCCGGATTGTAGAACGAAGAGTATCTTGCGCGGCTGCAATAAAAATTATGTTCCGTCTACACGAAACATTTCATTCCGGGCGTTCATTGTCGGTCGTGCCAGTCCAAGCGTCCAAAAGGAAGAAGAACCGGTGTCTTCGTTCGGAATCTCTGCTCTCTGTGGCATCCTTCCAGTATTGTCTCATTTCCCACTCGAATCGATGCAACCCGCACGTACGTCCCAGGCCGAACCTTGGAGATGGTATTCCCCCCGTCGAAAAACGTTGAGGGTATGGGTGAGAGCTGGTACAGTATGACACTGTCCCATCCCAAAGCGCCCGGCGGAACGGGCGTTGCATGATTAACTCGACTTCGAAGCGACCACGCAGAGCGCCCTCTCAGCCCTTGTAACGGCGAAAAACACAGGTGGAGTCAAGCATGTGGGCAAAGCGGTTCTCGTTCGACCGGTGTTTCGGTGGCGAAGATGATGGTGGTGATGGACAGGAGAAGGTGACCCATGCAGTCGTGGTCTGGGAATGACGTAGGTAGAACAGTAGGGGGAGTTGAAGGAGGACTGTGTTTTCTTACAACACAGCTCCCGCTAGCGCGTTTTTCATTTTCTGTGTCGCACCTCATGGCTATGTCCAGCGGTAGCCGAAATCCTGAAGTTGGTGAAGGTGTTGTTATGAAGGCTGCGGGGCTGTGGGTTTGCCAAGGGGTGGTACTTGGTACATATGTACGTACCACAGTAGGCTGCAAAGCGCCCAACGACCCTGTCAGAAGAAGTCGTCAATCCCGCGAAGTGTGAGTGCTGCCAAGCTCCCTCCACGGAAAACATCAAATCTCCACTGCCATGTGGAACGGGATGTTGATCGCAGGTCTTCGAGGAAGTTGGCGCCGCCGTCATCAACCAAGCGTTCTCGGGGTACAACTCCACCGTGTTTGCGTACGGTCAGGTATTTTGGCGGTGGAATCTTGTCCATTTGGTCCCTTTTTTCGTTACAACTGGCTTCGTGTCTTTCATGTGTTTGTGTTGTTCTCTTCTTCTCTTCGTCTCTCTCTCCTCATACGAACCTGATTTTTGCTGGGGGCATACACAGACCTAGTGAAGGAATAAAAAACCTCAACTCCTGTGCAGCGATTGTGTACAGGCCGCGACAGACATCACATGGCAAACGATGTGCTCGTTACATAAGGGACAAGGCCCATACCATCCCAACCCCATCCCGACCACACCGTTTACATATGCATGCCCATGCGACGAACCCTCTCAGACCGGTTCCGGAAAATCTTACACGATGATGGGAACGGGAAAGGCCCTGGACGACACCGTCGACCCGGAAGACCACGGCCTCATACCTAGAATTTGCTCTGGAATTCTTGAGCGGATAGACCAGGTATAACCGTATGCCTAGTTAGGCATTCTGCTTAGTTCGAGGTGACGGTGCTTCCGTCGGAAGTTCCGCGAGTGCTCCCGCCGTTAGATAAGCTCTTCTTCTGTTTGCGTTATCGTGCAATGGTTCACGCTGCGGGACTGCTCTCATTCATCATCTTCATTACTTTTTCCCGGTATATTTGAGGCGACGCTCCTCTGCCCGGAAATAATCACATGGGCCGCTCCCTGGTGTCTATCGCCGCGTTCATGTTATACTTACGTCGGGTCCGTTCTGCAGTTCCATGAGAACCCAGAAAAAACATCCCGCGCTCCCTTTCACGACGCACCACAGCCCGATTTTCTTTGAGAACAAGCGAACCAAACGAATGCGCAACAGATGGAATGCGAGGAATCCGCGAGACATTCATGTCAAGGCAGCGTTCGCGGTGGCAGCCAAGGCCACGGGCTCGAGGGGTCTGAGGAGCATAGGGGAGGGTTCGACGGGGCAGGAGGAGGAGGAGGAGGAGGAGGAGGAGGAGGAGGAGGAGGAGGAGGAGGAGGAGGAGGAGGAGGAGGACGTGAAAGTTCCTCTAGAAACACTGAAGGCGGTAACGAAGCCTTTCGCCACGGTGGCCCCGGACCGAACTGCAGCAACACCAGCCTCGAAGACGAATCGTTTCCGGCGGCGAGGCCATCATCTCTTGCTACTGCTGACGCTCGTGGTGATGAATCGATCGGAGACTCGGGCCCTCTTGCCATGAACACTCAGTTTTCCGTTGAGGTCAGCTACCTCGAAATATACAACGAGTCCCTCCGCGACCTGTTCAATCCGGCGACATCTTTTGTCGCGGATGGTACTGGTGGGGGTCTAGGGGAGCAAAGCTCGCACGGTGCCAACGGTGGTTTCATCGGGAGTGGGTCTGGGTTGCGCTTGAGAGAAGATCCCCGGTAAATTGATTGGTTCTGTGATTGTGTGTCTTGCACGTCGTCTACGGTAGACCGATGTCGAAACGCTTGACGTTGGCACATCTCTCCGAAGGTTTCTCTCAAGTTCTCTTGATGGTTTTTCCAGTTGGTTGATTCTGTCGATCTTGATGAATATCCCGAACTCTCGAGCTAGGAGAAGGAGAGCATTGAACGAAAATTTAGGGAGCACGGGGCGACGGAAGACGTTGCCTCAATATATCTCTCTTGATTTCACCTCAAATTCCCTGCACGGTGTCTGTGATACTTCGTCTACCACCAGCTCGGGCACGTACGTGGAAGGCTTGACCTCCATCGCGGTTTCGAGCTGGGAAGAGATGTCCCAGCTCCTGACATACGGCGGGAGCGAGAGGACGGTCGCAGCCACGAACGCCAACGACTGGAGTTCCCGTAGCCACGCCGTGTTTACACTCACGTTTCGGCAGGTACGCTTAACAGCAAAGGTTGCCTTTTTGAAACCCAATCACGAGTGCTTGGAACGCTGATTCGGCTGTGAAACCACGAATGGTTATTCTGTTTCGCCAGGAACACCAACTATTGTAGCTCCCGACGCCATGTAGAGCCTAGAACACTTCGACTTTGTACGCGTTGTACCAGCTCTCTCTGATTGCGTCCCCTCCTTTTTTCTTTCCGCTTTCCTTGCACTGGGATATTTTCTCTCGCTCGAAGACTTCACAGGCGTGGTCTCCGACAGGGTGCTCCTACGAATCTTGGGAGGCGTGTTCGAACGTGAATCTCGTCGATCTCGCGGGTGGGTGGATTTCAAGAGCAATACCATACCAACTTTCCTCCCATACTGCCCCTGTTTCTAGGCGCAAGTCGTTTTATGAAAGATAGGAAAACCACATTTGCCGCAAATACAGCGGCCCTGAAACATTCGCATTCTCACTCCTGTTTCGGCTCCCGCTACAACTACGTACATGTCACTTCGGTCGCGCGCGTCTATGCTTTCAATTTGCAACGGTCTGTCAGGCAGCGAGCGTGTATCGCACACCGGTGCCACAGGTTTGCGCCTTCAGGAAGCTGGTTCCATCAACCGGTCTCTGGCCGCCCTAAGCGATGTCATCAAGGTAGGTCATCAGAGCGATACCAAAAAATAGGAAAACGAAATACACCGAATCCACGACGATTGGCGATGGATGTGGTGGACACGCTAGCTACTTCGATGCTGGCGGAAGGAGGTGATGCTTCCTCTGCGGAGCAACCGCAGGTTTCCCCTTTGAAACCCTCACACACATCGGTCGAGCATGCTCGAAAATGGAAAATGATCGAAGAGTCATGATGCTGAGGACACTAGTCATGCCCCCACCCCCTATTGGCGGACACTAAAACTCCGTGTCCATGTTGTGATACCCGCAAGACCCATAAACCCAACTCTTCTGTCGCACACCCGGTCACGCGCAGGCATTGTCCGAAGCTCAACGGCGTTGTCGACCCGGTGGGTCCGCAGGAGGGAGGTCGCCAACCCGGCCAAGATCTCCTGGCAAAGGAAGGGGAAGAGGGGCAGCAGGGGGGGCGGGGAAGGGGTTCGTCCCGTACCGCAACAGTGTGCTGACTCGGCTGCTGAAGGAGAGCTTGGGAGGGAACTCGAGGACGGTGAGCTGGCAAGCGTATCAACCAGCGAATTTCACAGAGCGCAGATGGGGGTAGAACACTGGAACCGCACGGACCGATGAAACAGTCGTTCCGTAAAACTACCTCTGTCAACACTTTTCATGTTTTCAAACTGAACAGGTGATGCTGGCGTGCATCAGTCCGTGCGACGCTCACTACGAGGAGACCCTGGGGACGCTGCGCTATGCCGAGCGTGCAAAGAGGGTCAGGACCCGGGCGATCGCCAACGCTCAAAGGGGCGTGTCTCGGGAGGGAGTGGCGGGTGAACAGGCGATGCTTGTGGAAAGGTAGTCAACCGTGTGCTATGGAGAATGAGATCGTTTTTTTTTTCGTTTCCGCAACCTACGTGCAAATTTCGAAGAGAGGACACTGAAGTCACCGGCCACCACAACTAGAGGCAGCCGCCCTTTGTAGCCTGGCCATCGTCCCTCTACGGCGCACTGTAGCTTGAAGAGAGGAGACTTCAGTCGCTGGCCACGGCAACCAGCTGTAGTGGCCCTTTCTTATCTAAGCATCGTCTCTCTACGACGCGTCGTAGCTCTAGCTAGTTCATGCCCAAACAGATCAAGTATGGGCTGTTGGTCAGCAACCATCGCCCGCGCGTTAAACTCCAAACGAGATCAAGCCTCAGAGCAAGAATCCTACAGTCTTCCCAACCCGTCCTCCCGTTCCTCCCCGCACAGGCTAACTGCTCAGGTCTTGGATCTCAAGCAGCAGCTAGCAGAAGCCAATGCTACCAAGACCTGCACGTCACCAACGTCGACACAACCACCACTACAACCACCCACGGCACCGCCGGCGACGGATATAGACGCCGCCGCAGTGCTCCAGACCCCCGGTACCACCGGACAGCAATCCCCAGCGGGTTTCCCCCACGATGAGGTGGCGGCGGGGAGGCAAGGGTACGTCTATGTGGTCGATCCTTCCCTTCAAGGCGAGATAGAGCGGCTAAAGGAGATTGTTGCGGAGCGGGATCGAATCATCAAGAGCATGGAGAAGTTGGATCGGACGAAGCGAAAGAAGGTGAGGGAGTGAGAACTGAAGACAGTCACGAAAATACACACGACGTAGGATTGCTATGGGGCCAAGGGAGTGCATTTGCGTACCGAGGACACGGATATGGCTGGCGGTATTGGTCGTAAGACCTCAGCTCGAAAGCCTGAACATGTTTACCCCGCTCGTTTCTGGGTCGTGCGGGGTTGACGTGACCCTCGGTCGGACGAACACAACGGCCAAAATGCTTCCCTCACCTTGCCAGACTGATGCAGTTCCTTAGGTCAGGCGGTTTGAGCATATGTGTCAAGTGTTCGGCTTTTCGTACGTTTCACGCTCTTGCTTTGCGACTACACGGTTGAGGAAGCAGTTTCGTATATGGACAAGAGGAGAACTGGCGCTATTATAGTGCATGTATTGTAGCGTCCTACTGCTGTAGTTGAGAAGAATATAGAAATATGAATCGTGAGGGTTAGTTCGGGTTTGGTGCGTCTTCACCGGGCGAAAGGCCACGCATCACCAACAATGCTAGGCTGCGTGTCGTCCTTCCAGTTGGGCGGAAAAGTACCACCGTAAACGTGTCGGTCGCTTGTGCAGAACACCAAGATGTGGAAGGGCGAAAAAAGAACGCTCTTAGAGAACAGGCCACACGCAGCGAGGCCATTTTCCTCAAACACTGTGCGCCCTCCAACCGCCCGACCCCCATCACCCGTCGTGCTGGTTTGACCCGACAGGAAAAAGAGGCAAGCATCCTTCCAGGTAGAGGCCGAAACAGTGGACAGCGGCCAGCCGGTTCGGGTATTGGACGCAGCAGCAGTTTCAGCTCACGCCCGGGAGATTCTGTGGACCCATTTTCGGACTGTTCTTCGGAGTGTTCATCTTCTTCGACTTCACCACGGCTGTCAATAACCACGCCCCCGCGGGCGGGTGAGCAGAGCTTGCACACAATCAAGAGGGCTACGCATATTATTCAACAGATTCATAAGGACATGGTCTACGTCTTGTACGCGCGAATGGTTTGCTGAGCGTCCCGCCTTGTGCTCCAAGCTTGAAGATTCAAGCGATGCAAAGCTCTCCCTCGGACAGAGTATACTACTGGATGACTGTGTCGGAAACAAGCAATGACGAGAGGTCTTTTCGATACGTTGCAACATATGCTAACAGGTTGTGTAGGACCGGTTGTACCAGTGTTCTCCCCCTTCTTCTTTGCCCTCCCCAGATAATGTAGCACATCGGGCAGTTCCCACCGGTAGATACGGAGCGTGTGCCCGGAACGTAGGTTCCGTACGCGGTCGGGTAGATGCTCACGAAGGTCACTCACTCACCATCCACCCCGTTTCTCGCTTCGACATCAGGGCTGCACCGAAGCATGGAGAGACCAAGCTGTAACGACGTACACCCGAAATATGAGGCGGGGGAGGGTGGATCGTGGAGGAGCGGCATGCGGCTGCTGAATCTGAACCAGGTGTGGGGGCGCTTTCCGTAGACAAATCGTGTCATATTTTTTACGAATGAACAGATTCAATGATGGTACCAGTTTTGTGTACAATTTTCCCCGAACAACGAATGATTCAACCCATGCTGATGTTAGACCCATTCCTGAGTCGGCGAGGAAGCCGGCAGCACTAGGCCAGTTGAGCATAACTGCAATACTGGTCGTTGGGGGCATCCTCTGCATGGGACCTGTGAAGAGTTAGTTGGTGAGGTAAACCGCGGTGTCCTCAGCAACTCAATTTGGGATGGCCTTGTTGCTCTCACGTTCACGAAGGACCTCCTGTTCTCGGAGTGCATTTCGTTTCCCATCTGCAAGGAAGGAGCTCCGACGTTGGTGGGGAGCGGGGAAGAGGCCGACATTCGGTTGGATGGAGACGATGTCCGACCCCACCACGCGACCATAGTACTGAGATCAGGTACCGTATGCGGCGATGTCAATTACCACGTCCCCTAGGACACGGAACAGTATTCGAGGTGAACTCTGGAAACGTTTCTGCGTCGGAAACTCATGAAGGTCTGTATGGACTTGTTCCTGGACTTGTTCCGGTTTGAAGAACGACTTTAATGTGCCTTGGATACCGATTTTCGGTTCGCTTTGTTGCTGTTGGTGTTGTTGGTGCTGTTGTTGTTGTCAGGACGTCGAAAGGCGTTCTTTCCTCGACGCCCATCGTAGCGACCCGAACCGGTGGGGGCCTCTGTACTGTCAAGACACCAACATTTCCTGTTTCTGGTGACGCCGTGTGACCGCAGATGGAACCGCGATGCTTTCTGCGACACCGGGAGCTCGCGTCCATATCAACGGTGTCCTGATCTCGGCTGACGAGGAGATGGCCTTACCTGACAAGGGGGAAGAAGGGGAAAGGGAAATGGAGACCGCGGGGGATCTACCCGGACGGTGTGGAGGAGAGCTCCGGCCGGACTATCGGGTTGTCTTTGGCTCGCGACATTACTTCCGTGTGGACTGTCCCGTTCAACACCCTTCAACAGTAGGTACATGCACGTTGGTTGCTTTGCTAACAATGCAAAATCTAGTTTTTTTCCCAATCACGTTATTCTTTTCAAGTAACGTAGTCTCCTTGCTTGTTAATCATTCGTTTTGTTGCAACGGTGAGATGTTTGCCTTCTTTGTTCCGCCGAAGGTAGCGAGTTCAATCAGATAAAGTGAAGAAGCCATGCACGAAAAACCAGCACATATTGTTGTTGCCCTGGAAGCCGAAAGTAGCACACAAAGCTGTTCATAGAAAAGGCCATAATTAGTCAACGTTCGCGCATAGTGTCGAGAAGCATTTCCCGATGGTATTGATGGAAGAGACTCTGAAATACATATGCCCTCAGTTGCTTGTGTCACGGTCACGCTCAAAGGGCTATTGTCGAATACTCCTCTGCACCTCCTCACCGGTTGCCATTGTCAAGGGGATTCCCTAAACCATGAACGGGTGGCCGAAACAATGCCAACAAGGATAGACTGGGAATTCGCGCAGGAGGAGATCCGTGCAAACAACAACAGCACCTTCCGGCGACGGCGCTCGTCCCCTGTAGCCGCGAGTAACGTTTTGCACATAGCCAGACCGGCAAACACGACCGGGACGGCGGCAGGAGTGGGGGTGGATGTGGACGAAAAGCTGCAGGAGGAGTCGAAGCAGGTCCTACCGGGCGGTAGACAAGACAGTCAATTGCTTGTCAACGGAGGCGTCTCATTGCGAGGCCCGGTGGCGGATACAACTGAAAATCCCCCCGTAGCCATGGACAAGCGACCGGTGAGCAAGGCGTTGCCCAACCAGGAGACTCCGCGGGGTGACGAACGTGAGCCTTCGGTAGACAAGGTGTGGGCCAACGAGCCGTCAGAGATCTTGGCGCCCGGGGATATTGCGTTGAGCGACGGCAACGCTCTACCTTCTCCAGGAACACCACCAGTGTCACTTTCGCCGCTGGAGCGGCCGGATGCCGGAGACTCGTCGCGTGAGATACAGCCGACATCGCAAGTGCCGGCAGTATCGACGGTACCACCATCGCCATCGCCGGCAGAAACAGATGCTGCAGGTGGACCACCGGCAAACACAACAGCGGCTACATCGACCGATGATATCGGCAATCTCGATACCTTGTCGGAAGAAGGGTCGCCAAACAGACAACCGGAGGTGTCGACATCATCCATTGTGCCGGACGCCGAGTCATCGATGATGCCGCTGCCGTCGTGTGATTTCCTGCCGGTGATGGAAGCGACGGTCGTGGCACCGAAAGAAGTAGAAGAACAAGAAAATCAACAACCAGAAGGAGGAGAAGGAAAAGGACACCGATGCGGGAGTTTACATGGTGGAGAAACGGCCGAATCATCGCCACTATCTTTTGCCGGTCGCGATAGCCTGCCGCGCGGCGGGGTTTCTTCGACTCCAAGTTCGCCTGCGTCGACCGTACCGGTGGGCCAGAATAGAAAGAATTCTCTCAAACAAGGGGTCGACGAAGACCGATTCAAGAAGGAATGCCCGCCGAACGTAAACGAGGCAAGTATTGGACCATGTGGCGCTTCTTCCATCGCCGAACAGGTTGAGCAGCAACGGCTCTTGCCGTCGTCATCGGAAGTGCCTGACGCGAGTAGTAGGGCAGCGGTCATCAACAAGGCAACCCTCATCGAGCTGAAGAGGGCGAGGGAGGCATGGAGGGGGGCGGAGGGGGAGCTGGAGCGCAGCCAACTGGAGAGGGATGAGCTGCGGGCTATCCTACAAGCGGTGAGCGCCGCAGGGTTACACAGCCGAAAGGCATGGAACATCCCCGTTCGCCTTGACTCTAATGGGCACCCGAACTAGCGGTATTTTATTTTTTCGTGCATGATTTGCTGTCACATTTTTGCCAGATTCCGCGCGGAGTCGTTCCGCCCAAACTATGCCTGATTTCCGCGCCATCTACCCCGAGCTAGAGAGGGCCCTCGACTGTAGTGTGGCTCTACGCCGTGCGTTCGTGGGTAGAATAGGATAAGCATGAAACAGCGCTGTAGGGTTTCATTTTGGGATTGGGATTGGGATGCTGAAGCTTGAGATATTTTCCAGTCTGTTGGTTCTTCTAGTCTTGGTGCGTCCAAGGTATCCGTGCGAAAGGAACGAGAAATAATTTACCTCCTCCTCAATGACGGCTACTCTTCGATCAACCTTTGGCTGTGTCTGGGATCCCTCTGTAGCTAGACCATACCTCAATCGATCGGATAACGAGTCTAACTACCTCTAGAGCGACCAGAGTTACTCTACACGGAGGTTTCGGTGTAAAGGTCTTGCCGTGGCACAGGCATGGACTATCACTTAAGAAGGGGTTTTCCGCAAGACAACAGTCGAACGAATAATTTATTGCACCAGGTTCAAGAACAAGCTACGGAACGACGCAGGGCCGATCGGAAAGAGAAGCGGGAGTTGGACAAGGAAAAGGCGAAGGCTGAGTACAGGGCCAGGGATTTGGAAGGTCAGATCGCCATTTGTTGCGTTCGTCGTGTAACACTGTTGAGTTCGCCACGCAGCGTGGATGGGTGAAGAGAACAGCGGCGAACCCTGAGTAGACTGGACTAATACGCCTGGCTCTGGCATCGTGCAGGGTACGGGTGACACGGGCTGCGCTCATCATGGTCAATCCTTCCCTCCATCTTTCGCACGCCCCCCGTTGTGGAGTTTGGAAGGAGTTTCACAGTATCGGGATCATTGTTGGTCTGTTGCATCTGTAATTGAATATCTGCAGGGTGTGTTTTTTGATGGACCTAGACTATTTGGATTGCTGTTGTAACGTTCTCATGGTTTTAGACTCTGCCTAGGCGCTAATGTAGGCTGGCTTTAACAACTAAGAAATCGACCCCAGGACAAACAGTCAATTTCATGGAGTCCAGACCCACAATACCATTACATCCGATTTGTTTTGGAAGTGAAGTACTGCAGCAACACGCACGCTTGTTTCCCACGGAGCCCTCATCTTCTCCATTTTCTCTGCATATCCTGCTGACGATAACCCTGCAATGTCAACGGGCAAACTCGGCGCTTCATGTGCCCGGGTTCCCGTTGGTATGTATACCGAGGTTGTCTCGACCACGCAGACTGATTGAGGCAAGCACCGCCTAACCGTCCTTTGGTGTGACCACGTATTGCAGAGGAGGTATATGGACACCGAAAATGGTGAGATCACATGCAACGACCGGAGAAATCGCATGTCCTGGTTCTGTTCAGTCCTTAACGGCGACGTGCTGTTGTACACGTCGATCCCCGCAGCGGACAGAGATCGGCTACGGCGAATGCTCTCCAAGAGCGACGAACAAGTTGCGGATTTGCGGGGGCAGCTGCAAAAGGTGAGTGTCGAAGTCAATCCGGAGGTAAATTAACTTTTGGGGTGCGCAGCCCGACGCGTAGCGTTATCTCTTGGGAACCGAGACTATTCTCGGAGGGCAAAGGTGGAATGGGAAAAGGGGCCTAAAAAATATTTTCCTCCGCGAGCTTTCACCTTGTTTCGTCATATACTCTTCAGACGTCGAACCGTGCCTCCTCTGGGGCGCTGGGGCTCTTTACGGCCGTTGTTGAGCGTTCGGGGCAAATTCAATCTGTAAGCATAGGCTGCTTCCAGCACAAAGCGGACTAACCTGTTGCAGCGTTGCACAGCCCGCCGAGAAATAGCTGAACAAAACGTTAGAGACTCTTTCGTCATGATCTTTTCCTCCGGTGGCGCCGACACACAGGCATACGAACCTACCCCTGCCTCAAGACCCCCAAGTTTGTTCATTCTTCCCCTGACGATACTTCAATTCTATGGTTTGCACCCGATAAATTCGATGTGTTTTTTCTACGCAGGCACAAGCTACCACCACCACCACCGCCACCACCACCACCACCACCACCGAACTTGCCGCTTTCGTCGATGGCATCCGTGTCATGACCGCTGCTGACAAGACTGATACCGCCGACTCATTGTCGAAACCACCGACAAGACCTCCGCTAGCAATAACGCCGCCGACAACCGGGGCGTTGCCGCTGACACCAACGTTCAGCCCGGCAGCAGAGATTGAAGCAGCATTAACAACAGCACCAGCGACGTCGTTTGGAAGTTGTCTCGGCAGCGAGGGGAAAAGGGGAACTAGTGGCGCGACTGACGACGCGAGGCACTCGGACACTAGCAGCGACAGTAGGAGCCCGTGCCAGATGCAGCAGGCCGGTACCGTTGCGATCAATTCCAACAATGCAGAGGTGAGCGTACTGTAGCCGCACGCGCACATACAGACACGAGTGGGCGGCGCCTCATTCGACGGGTCTCCGCACTTTGTGACCATTGTGGATATTCTGCAGTGTGTTCCCATCTTCCGAAGCTACAACTAGGCTAACTGAACGCGGAACCAACGCGATGAAGTCTCGTAGCGGGGCTTGTAGCGGGGCGTGGCAGAGCGGGTAGCTGCCCTTCATGGGTGTTTCTTCCATCGAAAACCCAGATTCCCCGTGAATCTTACCATTGGATGGCTTTTTCCCGTACTAACTGCGAGCCCCGTGCTAACTCCCCTTGAAAGGTTCAGCGACGGAGCTGGCCTCTTGTTCTTGAGTTAAGCGCCTAGTTGACCTACAGGAGCTCTGTGTTTTGGCAAAAGAGCACACAACTATCCATACCGGTAGGGAAAACTGACTGCTCTGCTCGTTCCCGCGCGCTACTGCGAAGTTTCGACAACGCAGTGGTGAGATGGAGGGAAACATCATCGCAGAGAACGGGCGAAAAATGCCAATGGCGACAACCTCGCAGCTAAATGGCTCTGCATTACGACGGCCTAAACAGCCACAGTCACTGGTGCAGGAGGTTCAACAGCAAGAGGAGAGAGTACCCCGGCAGGAGAAGCTCCAGCCACCGCCGAGGCCGTTACCACCAACTCTGACACCACCAAGCGGGGACTATCATACTGAACATCGACAAAGTAGGCCTTCACGGACACAAGACATCGGACGAAGTATCGCCGTCGTTCTCGATCGCCCGGGTGGATACAAAAATAACCCAACGCCCCCCGCCGAAGATCTACTTGCAAAAGACACCATGATCGCGATGGGAGGAGAGAACCCTCCGGGATGTCCGCTTTTTCCGATGTCTAGGGACGATCTATCGCTTGCGGGTAAGCCAGCGGAAGGCGAGAGGGGAGGGTCAAATTATCTTGGCGACGCTTTAGAAGGACAGGAGCGTGCGAAACCCGAAGGAGGAGTGCGGTTTCGACTGCAATGTGAAGTAGATGAAGGATGGATGGGCAAGGGGCCGGCGGGTGAAGAAGAACGAACGGCTGCCAAAGGTGAGCCGACCGTGTGGTGCTCTGTCGGCTCATCATGTCAACGTGTGAGAGCATTGACGTCTGGTGAAGTAAAACCGATTGGATGATTCCTGCGCATTCGCCAACAACACTAGCATTGAGGATGGGATTTGGAATTCGCAATGAAATCATGTGCAACGTATTCGCTCGCTCGAAAATAGACCAGGCGGGACGTAACTCGTGAAGAAAGATGATTGGGCGACGTGGAGATTCACACGGGCATTCCTTTTCCTCTCATGGGCCGCTGAGGGTTTGCGTGGTAAACGTTGGCAGGTTTGGGGCTTGAGAGCTGTACACCACCGGGCAAAGCAGAGGCTGTCCCCGGCAAGATAAATTGTTCACCTTTCACAAGAACGAGTTAGCACGCTCTACCGTACTCACGGAGCACAACAAGCGTTTCATTCCACAGCAGTAGCACAAACCGACTGGCGAAATAGACGCGACAAGAAAATCATAGCCCGCTTTCCTTCATTCCATTCCTGCACACCTCACCGTACCTACCCACGTTCCTGTTGTGTTCGTCTGCCTACTCAAGTTGCGTCGAGGCCCCCTGAATCCACCGACCCATCAAATGGCGGAGATGACGGGGCTATTCTGGAGGAGAATCGGGCAGATGCGGAGGCTGATAACCACCTTCTTAGTCGTCGTTTCTTGAATTCCTCGGTAGATGACACCGTCCTGAGCGGGCGCAGAAACAAACAAGGGCCTTCCACAGTAGCAAGAAAGAGATCGGGGACGGTTGAACTCGCTGGTTCTGCCATCCCAACCGGTGAAGCTACCCCGAGGAACAGTCAGGAAACAGCTACACGGTCGCGCCTGGTTGACCGAGATGCTGGAGATTTCTATCGCGCGGCTCTCTCGACCCACCTTTCCTTCATCGCGACCACCGCCGCTGATGATCCTGATTCTGTCAAAACGGCTACCCAAGCTGGAGGTGATCTACAGGATCCGGGGAGAAGCGGTGCGGTGGGGGTGGGAGAGGCTTGCAGGACCTTCCATGGCGACATGGCGGGAGTTCGGCAGGTGAACCAGCTGCCAAACTATAGAGAGTTTCTTGGTGAGCTTAGCAAGTGTTCGTCGGCAACCACTGTCACCTCCATTTGTTGGTACCTCCATTTGTTTGGAGCTGGTCTAGTCACATTCATAGCAACCGCACGACAGGATGGTGAGGCCATCCTGTTCTTCTTGGCCAACACATGGCTGTATCCTTTCGTGTTTCAGCAGACTCGTTGTTACATGCTCGCTACGTTCCTTGGAGAGTTATCTCCACGTTTTCGCACTGAGGCATAGGCCGAACGCGCCTACCGGTGTACTCTCACTTGTCGCTCGTGGACATGAGGCAGCAACGTGACCGAATCTCTTCTAACAGAAGAGTTGAATCACTGCTGTATCATCTCGTCGATTCCATCGTAGGCGAGCCAAGTGACCAAGCCGTGGTGTGCTCTTGATCGTTGCCCATTGGTCGCCATGCTTGTATGAGCTTAGTTCAAACTCGTTTTCTTTGTCGTTTGACGCAGAGGCTCGAGGCGCTCCAGTCCAAGTTTTCCCGTGGGGAGTCGGGCAGCGCCCAAACGAGCTGAGCTCCAATCGGTAGAGGACATGAACACATGTCACAAATAGTCTAGCAAGAAATCAATTGATATTTCAATCTAGTCGCACCAAATTATTGTACCTCCGTCGCGGGAAGGGAATGTTGCTGTGCCCTCTCAAGTACTGCGTATGAAGGCAGATCCGACCTCACGCCAAGTCAGTGATGGCCACGCACGCAACCCATTTCGACCAAAGCACCGTGGAGTCTTAGCTGCTTCAATTTTATGAGTGGTGCATGTTCTAACGTGCCTGCCCTTGTTCCGTGTCACATCGCGAGATCTTTGGAAATTATACTTGACCTACATTTCGGAGTATTCTCCACGTCAACTGCCTGGTCAAGAGGTTCGGCTGGTCTTTAGAAAATGGTGATCGTTTCCCCATGTGCTGAAACGTTGAAGCAACCCAAACTTGCTGTGCTCTAAGTTTGGATATGACGTGGTTACGACCTCTTGACGTTTATTCAAGCCGAAACCTCTCACTTTGGAAGAAACGTGAAGTCCTGCGTGAATCTTCATTCTGGTCCCTTCGCTCGAATGGACCAAAGCCCTCAAAGAATATGGACAAGGAACCACCTTGGCCATGCCTTGGCAGCACATTGTATGCATCATATATGTTGCGAATGGAAAACAGAAGTCGCCCTGTGAATGCCGGGCATACGGAATTTCCACGACCGTGCGCTGGGGACACCGTCATTCAGTCTTAGCAACGATTCTCGGTTTCCTTCTTCTAGGAGGTTGTACGCACACACCGTGGACTGAGCTTTGAGACACAAGAAATTTTAAGCCAAGCTCAAAGTCCCTGCTTCCTCTTTAGGAAAAATTTGCGCCATTGGTCTCCATGCACCACCCCCAGGCAGTAAATCCCTGTGATTCCGTGAAAAAAGGGCATAATACGTACGGTTATTGGCCCCGTGAGGTATATTATCCACGTCGTTCTTCCGAGAGGAAAAAACAAGTCTACAAGTACAGAACGTGCCACCCCTCTAAGAACTTAGGAGTTAAAAACTTGAGCCTCAAACAATCCAAAATATAATAACTTGGCATAAGAACAGGTGCTCAGTTCCGACGTGGCATTCAAAACAAGAACCCCCCCTCATGGTGCACCAATGCGCACACAGATAAGAACGGAGCCCCAAAACGCGGCGGCTGCAAGATAAGGACTCAGGAAGGTTGGAGGTGACGGAGGGCGTACTCTGTCTCATGTTTCGCATGCCTTAGAGGTTAGACCATTGACCACACGTCCTCGAGAGGACGCATAATTGTGCCCACAGGACCGATCACCGATGGCCAATCATTCCCTTCTATATTTCAAAGTACTTTGCCAGAGGTGGCTCAATAATGTCTTCCATAGTCCATCTCGATACCACTTCCCGCGTTTCAACCCACTTGCTATGCCCCAGTACAGCTACCGTCTTCTTCTGGCTATTCTATGCCTCAAGCGTGTCCCTGTAGCTTTCCTCCTACGTGTCCAACTCAGTCATGTACATTTCTCTACCCTTGTCGCCCAACACGGACGTTTCGCAACGACGTGAACCCGGTCTTCGCACTCATAGCCGCATGCACATTTGAACTTGTCGCCTTCATTATCTTCCTTCCCGAATCTTCGTCAACGTTCTCAAAGAAAGGCCGTTGTCCCCAGTCCTAATATGGACCTTCGGCTTTGTCCCTTCATCCATTGGTCCATGTAGGTACCTATTCCCTTCTTTCAACATCCGTACACATCTAGAGCCTCCTTATCGTTGGATCCTTTTGTTAGACTGTGTTCTCTCTCCGCAAAAGTAGCAGGTTTCTTGTTTTCGAACCCCTCCCTATAGACCTGCCGTTCGTCTCCAATGAACCCGATACCTACCGTTCGTTTCCCGAACACGATACCTACCGTTCGTTTCCAATGTATCAACCTCATCGATTTTTTTGAACTATTCCATAAGTTATCTACAACCTTAATCCACTCCCTTGGTTGTTACCCCTAATCTTATTTGTCCTCTTCACCTCCCGAGCTTCTCTCGGCAACCTCTCCTCTCCAATATCGTACACCATGTGGTACTTCTTGCCGTTTAGTTTCCTGACGCCTCTTCCCGATCGTAGGAGTTGGATCTGAAGGGGGGGCGTACTCTCTCTCTCTCTCTCTCTCTCTCTCTCTCTCTCTCTCTCTCTCTCTCATGTTTTGGATGCCATAGCGGTTAGACCATTGACCACGCGTCCTCGACAGGACGCAGCATTGTTCCCACAGGACCGATCACCAATGGCCAATCGTTCGATCTTACTTTGCCGAAAAGGTGGCTAAAAAATGTGGTCCCTGGTCTATCTATCCTATCGATATCAGTTCCCGCCTTTTCAACCCATTTCCTCTGCCCCAGTACAGCTACCGTCTTCTCCTGACTATTCCATGCCTCAAACATGTCTCGTACCTTTTCCTTGTACTTTGCCCAGATCATTCATGTGCATTTCCCTCTCCTTCTTGTACAACGGACATTCCGCATCTACATGAACATGGTCTTCGCACTCGGAGCCGCATTCGCATGTAAAGTTGTCGTCTTCATCGTCTACGTTCCCAAGTCTTCGTCTACGTTCTCGAAGGCAAATGTCCCCAGCTTGGTCCCTACATCCATTGGTTCATGAAGAAGGTAGCCCTTAAATCTATTCCTTCTTTCAACATTCCGTACACATGCAGACCCTCCTTATCCTTGGTTTCTTTGGTTAGGTTATGTTCTTCTCTCTCGGGAAAAGCAGCAGATATCTTCCCCTTGAACCTTCTAGTCCTTGCGTTTCCAGTGTATCGCCTTCGTCATTTCGAACCACTTCCATGCGTCATCTACAACATTAACCCACTCCGTAGGTTGGTACACGCATTATTCTTGTTTGCCCGCTTCGCCTCCTAAGCTATTCTCGGCAACCTTTCCTCTCCCATACCGTAAATACGTTCATGCGGTACCGCCGTCTAGGGGGGGATTCTACGACTATTTTGTACTCTTGCATCATTAGTAGTGTCTCGTGATGAAATCCACCAAGAAATAATGCCTGTGTCCTTAGCATAGGGCAACCGGTTTACATAGAAATAAGAACAAAAACCCCGTTCATCATAGGTGGATGCCTGCTCCAAATATGAACTTGGCAAATGAGAACACGTGCTCGGTTGAACCACTAAGCGTCGAGCCTCATCCTAAATAAGCGGTGGCGCGTTCTCTATGTACAACGACACGTGTAGGCATCACCTTGCCATGCATGTTGTTGTTTTGGCGCGGTTTTGTCCAGCAGAAAAAAATGGCAAAGAGGAGCGGTCGCCCTCGGTATCAGTCGCTGGGAGGGGTGCACACTACTGGTACTGTACAGTAGCCCTTTCCTGACAGCTTGGGTTGAAACCAATCATCCGGCGAGGATTTGGCGAGCTGAATCAAACTGATGATGACATTTCTCACTTTTCGAGGCCACCATATTGCTCTACTTTCAACTGTATCTGGCAGCGGGGAGGTGGAAAGGTGAATCCATACATCAGCGATGCTGAGTTGCCAATCCATACATCAGCCGGATCCTGAGTAGCCAGAGATAGGGAATATTCTAGAGATGTAGTGTGCGGTTTCAATGTTTCAATACATTCGAAGAAATTCATGTATCCACCCGCTGCTCCGTGGAGCGAGAGAGAGAGAGAGATGCGCGTTGTACTGCTGTAGTTGCACCAGGCCAAATACTATGACTATAACTACCAACTTATAACCTGGTTATAATGTTATAATAGTCATACTGTGGACTTGGTCTTTGCCTGTTGCATCCCACAGGCACTTGCCTGTGTGTGTGACGCACGACGCACTTCGTGGCGGGGCTTCGCGGAACGGAATACGCCACGGGTATGGATTGGGTCGATACGATTGTACGGAGCAACTGATACGCCCTGCCCACGCACCGCGCACGACAGACGGCTCAACCACAATATATGAAATTCGAAATTCAGCGTTCATATCACGCGAGTACTAGAGACGGTGCCGCCTTTCGACCAAGTACGTGGCCTGCCTCCAGAGACAAGCAGGAGACGCATTTTGTAAATTCTCAAACTAGTGATCGTTTCTTTATGTCGACCAACGCCACGTCAACAGCAGGAGCAACAAGCGCTGAACATCATGATTTGCTGGCGAACTCGGTCGGGCCGGATGAATCAGGTATCCGATATAGACCGTAGGCCGTATCGGCCAGGAGGCTGGATCTTTCTGCTCAAGCAATCGTTAGGCTTTCTCTGCGTGGCGTTTACTACTGTGGGCCGAGACGTGGGCAGAAGCATCCCTCTAGAATATGCACAGCATTCAACCGTAATTGTACTCTGTAGTGCACACAGCATCCGTTGCCGCTGTGCTACCCGCCAAGGATCAGAACATAAACATCCAAGGGTGCTCCAGATGGTGTAGGGTGAGGGGGATAGATGGAGCTCGCTGCAGCTACCCAAACTGTACTGCAGATACGACCGCACTATCCGGAGCACCGCGTTGTGTTCAAGTGCAGTGCATGTCAAGCGCTGTTCAACCAGTGTACAGCAGTAGTTGTTCAGTGCGGCGTGATTTCGTCGTTTTCCTGCCCCGGTGAGGGAGGCCCTTGTCGAAAACATGTTCCATCCAACACATTCGTGCTACACCTTCCTAACTACCCAACACATTCCTTCTACACCTTCCCAGCATAGCATACAGAGAGATGCACAGTATGGCTACCAAACTGTCTTGTTGACCCTGTTACCCACGGGGGAGATATCACTGTGTGCTGCTCGGGAAATCGTGGGAAAACAGAACTTTCGCTGACTCTATGAAGGGGTGCATCGCCAATCGACAATCGACGCTTTTCTTCGATAGAGAGGGTTGGGTCGTACTGATGAATGAAAAAAAAAAAGGCGAAGATGATTAATTTCGTGTTGGCTCTACACAGCGCAGGCGGGGAATCGAAATCGAAAATCAACCGGGAAGAGGCGAACAAGGCCCGTACATGCCAGTTACGATTATTCAAACCATGACCATGAGAGCAACACGGCATCCAAGCCAGCGAAGGATTTCTCCGAACGACGGCTATAGCCAGGCGGGTTGGAAGGTCTTTGTCTCGCATCTAACGCTGCGAACTCAGCGAGCAATGTGTGATCGAATGCTGCGTGCTGATGTCGGAAAGCCAAAATAGCTGCCGTTGAACTGGGTTTACAAAGAAATAATTTCACGGTGATGACTCTCTCTCTCTCTCAATTTAGAGCAGATCTCGCTCAAAGAAAGTATACCGTGCTCTGCTGGATGTCAGCTTTCTGTCAGGCTCTTGCTTGCATCGCCAAGCGGTCTGTAGGTGGCTAGACGAGTATCGACATGGAGGCATGTACGATTCTGTGAGGGTGTGGCAGCCAACTTGATATTCCGGTTGGCATTTTCGATTTTCGATTTCGAGTCTGTTCGTGCTCGCTTTTGATTTTTCCATATCGGAGAATTCAGGAATAATAATAAGAAGAAATTCGGAACACTTACCCCCAGATCGAAAATCCGGCGGCGGAACACTGGAGCTTTATCCAATCAGTGACATTTTCATTTTCGATTTTCGACGGAAAACGTATCTAACAAAGGCCACCCTGATATCTACAAACAAACGTCGTGCCCCGAGCTACCCACGAGGATGCAAACCAGAGACATCATCCGCACAGCCACGTCCCCACATCGTGTTTCGGTGCATTGGCTGTCATCATCTATCTAGGAATTTGAAGTTGAGGGGTTTCTGTGATCGAACAACCTCGATGCGCCTTGCATATGAAACGTACAGCCAAGTGCGCGTTGGTCAAGTACGGATCGGTTGGTGCTTTCGTACGCAAACGCTACATACTTTGTAGACAAAGGAATGTCATGTCCACTGTCCAGGTGTAAACAGCATGTTGTCTGACGGGAATACTACAATATACAGCTTACACGCGCTTGCAACTCCTCATGCCCCTAGTCCCTGGTGACACTTCTTGGCCTAGAGGTCTCCAGAACCAACGGTGCTTTGTTCACTACCGCCTCTCGGTCCGTGGGTGGCAACACAGCTGTAGCTGTCGTCTTTGTCACACTTCCACTTGGGCGCAGGGTGCATGCCATATCATTCGGCGTACGTCGACGATTGACAGGAGGAGAGGACTTGGAGTTGATTTTGTCCTTTCTCCCGCTGTTGACACCCGCCTTGCGTTGAATGCAACAGGAGGCGTTCCCACCACCGCAAGCACCGTTCTCGTAACGGCTCCTGCGACAACTCCCGTGAGCTTCATGTGCCTAAGCGATGCGGTGCTGGATCTGGCCCTCGGCTACCTGGATTCGGACAGTCTCGTTGCTTGCCAGGCCACCTGTCGTGCCGTCGGTAATGCAGCTCAGAGCGGTGAGAAACCCTACTGCTGTTGTCAAGCATCGATCTCAATGAAGCCTTTGCTCCGCATCTGTGCTGTGTGTGATGGTGATGGGTTCCGCAGCCGTACTGTATGGTATCAACTCGACACAACACTGGGTGTGCCACGTCTTGCGTTTTTCACGGCGTCGTCTGAACCAAAGACGACGCGCAACCTTTGCGACCCCATTAATATCAGTGGATGGACTCGTTTCTGTGTGCTATGGAGCACGTACATGATCTTGTTTCGGTGTGGATTTTCTCACAAGACTGTGGCGCCACGTCCTGCCGCCTTCGAGGGCACGCAGATACTTGGCTACCTTCGTGCGCGAAGTCTAACCCAACAGCCTCTGCGTAGCTTGTGGAATGGTTTCAACTAGAATCGGCCACCAGACATCTGTCTGAACAACTACAAGAACTACGGGAATATCGGGGATATATCCTCGCCCAATAGCCAGCGTACGACCCGGTTTGTCGATACCCGCATTTGGCGATATGTGTGTGCTCTTCTGGTTCCGAATTTGTTTTGCCTTCACATTCGAGATTTCTCTGAGCTCTGACGACGAAGTCTCCGTCTTCCATTCAAACTCAACCTGCCGAACTTGCGTGCTAACAGACGATCTCTGGCGGAGCAAGTGCCTTGAGGACTGGGGCGAAGAGCGCCGCGTGCGCCCAGAGCAGAGATCTGAGCTGGTATCCACCTTCCTGGAGTCTTGGCGTGCTTGGCGCAGAGCGTTCAACAGCTACCACCGTGAGTGTTGGATCTTGCAGTGGGTTGTTGTACGCTTTTCCCGTCCCACACGTACAATTGTTGCGCGCGTATGTTTTTTGAGTGAGTCGCGCTGGCGGTGAGTTCTTGTCGCCCTCGATGATACTGCAAGGGGTGCACTTTTTTTTTTTCTTTCACAGATATGACCCTACTTCTGATCCGTTTCCTCCGCTGACAGCTTCTCCTGGTGTTGTTGTAACGCGTTTGGTGATGTTTTTCACCCTTTGTTGCTCGGAGGTGTTTTCATCTTCCGTCATCGATTTCGTGTCGCTTGTCACAGCAGTTTCCCCTCGGTTTGTACTCCCAGTCGTATGCCGGGCTGCCTTCTCGATTGCCCTCGCTTTGTTTGCCTCCAGCTGCTGACGTGAAACGAGTGGCCATGTGGTGGGCAGGAGTGGAGGCATGGATGTCCCGGAACCTCCCTGAGGTTTTAGGGACCTTGAATGCCGGTGGGTTGTTCTTGCCGTTTTTGTCCTGCTATGTTTGTGGCTGCTGTCGTCGATTTGGTCGTCGAGTGTATTTGATACCGTCATGTTGAAAGCCCTTTCTGGAATTTGCCTATTACCCACTCCATCTGCTATCCAGCGAGGTTGAACTTTCTTCCACCTGCCGATGTGGTACGAATTGCAGACCGGCACCGGTTGCGTTGCTGATTTCTCCCCTTTCCGTGTCGAATATCCGCGGGTTTCGCTGGATGTATGCTTAGGTGTATCTGAGCAGGAGCTCGACACCGCGGAAGAGGCGCTAGGCTGGCCTCTCCCGACCCACCTCAGACTGCTGTATCGCTTCCACAACGGCCAGGCAAGCAGTAGTAGCAGAGGCGGATGTCCCTATTCGGCATCCCTTCTCCGCGAAACCTATGGGCTAGGCACACTGCACAATTCCAAGCTTGTTGTCTGCCAGTCGACATGTCGATCTGTTGTTGCCGCCTGCTTACGAGCCTTTCCGGCGTACTCGACCAAGGTCGAAGAATATCTACTTTCCCCCCCATCCACACCCTTACCTGCTGTGTGCAAGGTACAAGGTATGGCGTAGGTTTCGACGAAGTTAGCCCACTTTAGAGCGCGAATTTAAGGTCTTGCACGACGGCGGACAGGGTTTACGTGTCATGGAGTTAGGAACAAACAGGCCTGGGCACATGGATGTACAGGATTCCTGTTTGGTGTCCTCCCTTTCGACAATTCCGGGCTAGCTTCCCCAAGAGTATGATCAGTTCAGAACGCAGGCAAGGTGTACACACGATTATTGAAGGGGTCGCCTTTCGACGGTCGGATTTCTGAGGGCTAGTCGAAATACTCCCTCTTTCACAACGTGCCCTCTGCTGCTGTTGCAGAGGAACGCTGGTCCTCGTCCTACTACTACCTGTCAGCCGTCGTTGCACGATAGTTTCAACGGATCTCCGATCGATCGGAAATCGATGATTACGAACCACTTTCCGGAAACATCGTACAAGCTGGGCCAGCCAAGAAGCCAACAAAATGGTTAGAAGCTATTTCCGAGCCGGTTTTTACGAACTAGAACCTGAAATTTTGATATGTGATTGGAAACGGTCTTACAAATGCCCCCGAAGGAGGTGCGGTTCTTGTTTTTTTTT